ACTGTGTATATATTGATATATAATTATATATGAACCGTGTTCATGTTGACAAATGTAGAAAAGGTATGAATGAGAATGAATATCTTCACAGTAAAAGAGATGTATTTGACCGATATAATCGAAACCGGTTAAATGCATTTCTTGTATTGTGAAGATATTCTCATTAATACCTTTTCTTCAATAAATATATATACTGGATATATATATATATATATATATATATATATATATATATATATATACGATTCTCGTGTTGTTTAGATTAAGAAAACATTTATTAAACGCAGTTTCAAGTAATTAAATGTACCTATGTATATAAATACACACACGTATATAGGTTTATACAATACATTCATATAAATACACACACATATATGTGTATGTGATTTTAAGTTAGTTATCATTCCCCAGTGATGAAATTTCAACATCTATCCAGCAGGAGAGCTGTCACGAGTCTGAAAATAGCAAATATGCAATCCTATCAATATGATTGTAGGTTCAGGCTAAATGGATCCCTGTCAGCTCTGTCCAGGCCTCTACTCTGAAGAGGATATTCCAGCGCCACTACAAAGCGAACACATACACACACACATACATATATATACATACACATATCATGCACACACACATGCATATGTGTATTCCTTTTTGCTTGTTCCTCTTACATTAAATTCTTAACTGGTTCATAAATGTATTAGTTATATTAATGTTATCCTTACTGATACTAACTCCTATTATTATAATTCATACGTTGTGTTACTATTCCATTATTGTTATCTTTATCATTATTTTCCATCATTCATCATTTTTTCATCATAATCCCCTTGATTATTTTCTTATAGCCACCCACAATCCTGTCATACAGAAAAAAGGAATGCCACAGCTGTATGTGAAATGTACCAGATGCTGCCATTATTTCCTCCGTCTTTTTTCTCTCTTTGCTGATAAGTACTTCCTTTGGTGATGAATAAAATGGTCTGTTGACGGCTACACAACGTTGCTTTACGTGCTGACGTTAGGTAAGTGCTTTGTGTAGCCTGTGTAGTCTAAGTGGCCTGTGTAACGCAGTCTAAGTAGCTTGCGTGCAAGCAGTCTCTATGCCATAGTCTAGTTGCTAGTCGTCTGTGTGTAAGTAGCCTGTACCCGTATAGTGTTTAAGTAGTTTATATGTAAGTAGTTTCCTTGCTGAATATAAATTGTAATACCAACAATAACAATAATTGTAATCAAAACTATAAGCAAATATAAAAAATATTAAGTAGAATGGAAACAATAAAACATAGGTGTTTGAACGTAATGGCCAAATTACTAATAAATAAGACAGTGGTTACATATGTTTGCATAAACATGTCAAGTATATGAATAGTTAGGAAAACAAGAAAATGGAAGAAATTGATAGAAAGGTGACTTAATGGGAAAAGAAAGAAATGGACAAGCAGTTTTGTTTTCTGTTTTCTTCATATCCGTTTTTTTCTTTTCTTTCTCCCCAGATTATCTTCTCAAGATGCTGCTCTATTTACTTCCGATTTTAACCTGCTCTCTGTTCGTAGGTATGGACTGTCAAACCTCTAAAAAAAGAAAATCAACTGCATATCTATGTATTTCCAACAAATAATCTTCACTGTCATGAGGATAATTGGCGTGTCTATGTCATAACAAATAGTTAAGCTCATGAAGTTCATAATATGTGAGAACCAATATAAGCTGCATGCTTCGCACATTTCACAGGGGAAGCACGCGGCCGAGTCACTTGGAATCGAACCGCGTTGGACTCATTCCAAGCTGGAGTCGAAGCAACTTGGAATCGAACCCACTTGACTCTGGCTTCGCAAGACTGCCCCGGAGGCTACTCCCTCGTGGGCGACAAATGCCTCATGTTCGTCACCTTCGCTGCTGAACCCTATCAGGGAGCCAGATTTTTCTGCCATGCAGCCAGAGGGGAGCTGGCTGCCATCACCACGGCCACGGACTTCAAGAATTTAGTCGATTACATCCACGCCAACGGTGGGAACAACAGCGATCGAACTTTTCCATAATGTATTGGGTGTAAATAATTTTATCATTTTATGCGTTCTGCTAATCTAAGCTAATTTAATCTTGATTGCTTTAAAGGTTTCTTCGGCCGAACTTTCTGGGTGGACGGAACAGACGAAGCAGAAGAGGGCGTTTGGGTGACGTCGTCAGGAGTAGCCGTGCCCTTAGGAACCCCGTTCTGGGCCGCTTTTGATTATCAGCAACCCGATAACGCCCGCGGGAATGAACACTGTCTATCCATTCCATCGGCTTGGTTTCTCTATATGAATGACGTCCCTTGTTCTGACACAAAGAACTTCATATGTGAAGCCACCGTCCAAAGGCAGGAGGGTGAGTGTGGATTTCATTAACAATTTCTTAATTAATTGAATTAACTAAATAGAAAATGGTATATATTTTCATAAATACATTTGTGAAACAGGCTATATATTTATTGTTTAGCATATATATGAATCCATTCATATATATGCATAGCTATATATACAATATGTATATATATGTGTATGTTTATACATACATAAAAATATATGTGTATAAGTGTCTGTGTTTCTACATGTATGAACATATATATACACATCACTATATGTATAAGTAAATATATGTGTGCATGTATGAATATATGTGTATATGTACATATATATGTATATATATGCATATATATGTACATATATATATGTATATGTGTGTATGTATATATTTAAGTATATACGAATATCTCTAAGTATGAATGTATATATGTAAGTATATGTGTACATATATGTGTGTAAATACATACATGTGTATATATACAGAGATGGATAGAATGTTATATAGATGTGTTTATGTATGTATATATATAAATACAAACACATGTATCTATACATACATATAAGTAAACACCACAGGTACTGTATGTATATATAATTGTGTATATATGTATATATACATATGTATGTAATATATATACATATTGACAAATTGTATATATATACCAAAGTATGTATACATAAATATTGCAGATTATATGGACAAAATTAGATATGAAGGAGATTGAATATCTTCACATTGCAAGAGATGCATTTGACTTTCTTATCATATCTCCTGCACTGTGAAAGTGTTCATTTTCATTTACACATTTCCTACTTAAATCGCCATGACCGCGGCTCAAACAGCGCTCTTTCCCTCGTGTCCCCCAGAGGCCGCAAGCGCAGCGCTGGCTCCCGTCGGCCCGTCGGCGGTGGGCGGCCGCGTCACGTGCCCCATCCTCTTCGTGGAGGTGGGAGGCCTGTGCATGATGTTCGTCACGTGGGCGGAGCAGACCTGGGGCGAGGCTCGGCAGACGTGTGCGGGAGCCTCCGGCGACCTCTTGGCCATCACCGATGTTGAAGTGTTGCGAGCTGTGTACCTCTACATACACGCACATGGTAGGTCGCTCCATATATCTTTCAAAAGTCATGCGCGTCCAAAGGTTGATTGACTGAAAATAGTGTTGGGGTTGTGTCTGTAATGGATTGACATTGGTTTTCCCTGAGTCTGGAAACAAAATTGTGAATTCTTGTTCAGGTTTATCTGGCCACACTTTCTGGCTTGGAGGATCCGATCTGGCGAGAGAAGGAACTTGGGTCTACACCACAGGGGAGCCTGTGCCCATGGGTAAGTTTATCCTATTGGTTTTCAAAATTAATGTGATTCGTAGTATTTCTTTCAGAGTTTTATCTAGTGCAACCACTGAAACATTTTATATGAAAATTGAGAAAGTTTTGTCATCAATTCATGAACATTGACGCGTTTCAGGCACCCCTTTCTGGGGTCTTTCTGACATGAGTGCTCCGTCCCAGGAACCCAACGGAGGAACCAGGGAGAACTGCCTCGCGATCGGCAGTTTTTACAATTTCAGGGATTATTCATGTGGCTCAAAGTTCAAGCCACTGTGTGTCTACAGGGGATGAGCAAAGTGCATGGAAAGCGTACAAGAAAAAAAAATGTTTAAATAGTAATAAAAAAATTATGCTAACATGAAGTAGAATAAAATATATATATATGATAAATAAAACACATTTTGCTTTTGTCTTGTAAGCGTTCTTTCAATGTATTAGTGACTAATAAAGGTGCAAATATATACTCTTTATTTCCTTTGTCTCTTGCCAGTTCAACACACACGTAGTTAGTGTAACATGTAACAGTATGTTCTAAATGTACCAAATTATGCCGTAGAGTTAGTAAGATGCAGTTAAACAAATTACCAGCAATATTGAGACAAGTGGTTTCTTTTGTTTCAGTATATTTGCTTATCTACTTTACTCACTTCTCTCTTTTTTTAATGATGTCCTTTGAACTTCGGTCGTCTTATACCCTCTTTACTAAATAGTTACATATGTGATCTGATTTGAAGGTGTAAAATGTAAATATCAGAATATTGACGAGGCAGGTTGTCTAATAAACAAATTGTCATGCATTTACAAGTAGAAACTTCACACAAATAAAAATTTAAATAGCATGCAGCAAAAATAAAGACACGAGAAAAACATATGAACTCCACACTAATGAATGTAATATGCAACAAAAAATATTATTATTATAAATATATAATAAGGAATGTGAAACAAGAAATCGTTACATGCAACAAAAAACGGGAGAAAATAACTAAATTATCTGGTCTACGCACAAATGAAAATCTTAATGACATTCAAGTAAGAAGACAAGAACAGAATTCTCTAATTATAGTTACCTAATTATATGATAAAACTAAAGTGCACGTTCTGGTAAGGCTTCTCATAAGATTCTAAAAGTAGACAATGATGGCTTTGAAACTATTAAACAGCGTAGTTCTAATATATGAAATAAAGGTATCGTCTCTCAAATTTGGGGAAAAACTGTTGCTAGTGGCAGAAGAGAAAAGTTCATGCTCGTTTATATAACTCGTTTGAAAATACAGATGTGTATATCGTCACCCTGCTAAGATAGTTGCTTATCTCATTTTTTGCAAATTTTGAAGAGGGCGAAAAAACAACTCCATTTATTCAATATCTCCTCTTTATTGTTGAGATAGGCCAGATGCATTTTGTTTAGTATTTTTGTTATGAGTAATTTCAGTGACTTAGGCAGTTTTACAGTAGTTGCCCCATGTGTGCAGAGGTTAGTTAGGCAAAAATCCCAATTTAGGAAAAATGTGAGTTAGGGAATCATCTTAGTAGGGTGATATATATATAAAAAAACTGGATTATGTTGACTCTCAAAAAATATTGCTGTAACTCATGAAACAAAAACAAAAACCAACATTGTGACTTTCAAGATACGAAATATTATTGACGTTACTCAATAAATATAACGTTATGATCTTTCAAAGTCCGGTAAAATTATATAGCAAATAGCTTCAAAGCGAAGATTTTTTAAGAAAGTTTTACCTGGATTTAGTTGGATTTACGATAAGTGTGATATGAATTTTTTTTTTCTGAATTTTTCTTCCACTATTGCTGAAAATACTAGAGAGAAATAAAATACTTGCAAGATATTCTAAAGTAATAGACCTTATTTCGAAGAAAATTAACGAACTTCTTTGAAATCATTTATTACTTCCGTATCTTAGTGACAGAGCAAAGATTCTTTATATAATTCCGCATTGTTAAGGTAATCAATAAAAAAAATAAAAAATCTGGTCCTATATATTCAAGATTTATTATTTTGTACATGATGTGCCCGTTTCCATAGTTTCATTGATTATATATATATAACACTGGATAAACTACATATAACTACACAGTTTCCTTGTTAGATTACAGTATCCATTATTTTTGTTCATACTAAGCCAAATAGTTGTTATTAGTAATCACATACCTAATGTAGTAAGGCAGGTTACCTTAAACAACAAACCGATTTCCTAAAATTACCTAAAACAATAAGATAAATACCAGATACAATAAACTTAATACCTGAATACAATAACCTATTCACACAGTATAATAACCTAACTACCTGATATACTGTAATTAAACTAAATGTCTTAACAACTCAAAAAGACTAATGCAATAATCTGCAAGCTTAGATGCAACATGCAGATTCATAGACCTGTGTGAAGGACCTCATTTGGTTCCAGTTATTGTTTCGTGCTAAAGGGAAGTGGTGCTCCCTGTGTTACAGGTACATTATTATCGACCCTGTCCACGCTTGCACCCGAAGAGGACACTCCAACGAAACTGTAAAGCGAAGACATATATGTACATATATACATATACCAAACACAAACATATGTATATCGTTATTTTCTTACCTGTTCTTTTATTAAATTCTTAACTCAGTTACTTATTTTCATGTCATCCTTATCAATACCAATATTAACTCTTAACATTATAAGTAATTCATGTTTTGTTATTTTATTATCATTATCATCCCACTGTTATTGCTATTTTTATCATCATCACCATTATTAATTTTTCACCATTCTCCCTTTCATTACTTTCTTAAAACCGCCCACACTCCGGCCATACAGGAAACGAACAGGAATGCTACAGCAAACCGTGTGTGAAATGTACCAGATGCTTTCATAATTGTCTCCATCTCATTTCTTTCTTTTTTCTTTTACTGATAAGCACTTCATTTGGCGATGAATATAAGGGGTCTGTTGACGGCTGCTACACAACAGTGCTTTACGTGTTGATGGAAGGTAAGTGCTGTGTGTGAAGAGTCTGTGGAAGGTAGTCCAAGTATCCTGTGGAAAGTAGTCTAAATAGCTTGCATGGAAGTAGTCTCTGTGCCATAGCCTAGTTGCTAGTTGTCTGTATCCATGTAGTGTGTAGCATAATAAGATGTAAGTTTATGTAGAATGGAAAATTAAACTGATAATAAGGTACTAAGTGGGAAAATAAGGAAATGAACGAGCTGTTGTGCATAAAATCTTCATTATTTTTTTCTTTCTCTTCCCCAGATTATCTTCTCAAGATGTTGCTGTATCTACTTCTGAGTTTAACCTGTTCTCTCTTCGTAGGTACGAACTGACTGAAACATCTAAAAACTTTTTCAAATGTCTTATAGAAATCATTTGTCAGTTTTATTATGAAGATAATAGGCGTGTCAAAACAAATGGTTAATCTCATTTATGAGAAAACATCAGCGTTGCATACTTCGCACATTCCACAGGGGAAGCACACGGCCGAGTCACCTGGAATCGAACCGACTTGACTCTGGCTTCGCAAGACTGCCCCGGAGGCTACACCCTCGTGGGCGACAAATGCCTCATGTTGGAGATGGTCGCCTCTGTAACCCATGACGACGCGAGGAATCTCTGCCATGAAGCCAAAGGGGAGCTGGTTGCCATCACCACGGCCACGGACTTCAAGAATTTAGTCGACTACATCCACGCCAACGGTGAGAACAGCGATGGTGCTTTTCCATAATGTATTGGGTATAAATTCTGGAATACGGTCGATCATCGTTGCGGTGCTGAAGCATTTGCTTTCTCTTCGTCTATTGAATCTCTACTGTTGTAAAGAGATCTGTCTTTATTGGTCTAGCATTACTCTTACCCGTTCCGCTAATCTAAGCTGATTTAATGACCTCAATTACTTTAAAGGAATATTCGGCTATACTTTCTGGGTGGACGGACGAGACGAGGAAACAGAGGGCGTTTGGTTGACTGCGACAGGAGAAGCCGTGCCCTTAGGAACCCCCTTCTGGGCCGCCTTTGATTATCACCAGCAACCGGATAACGCCCTCGGGAATGAACACTGTCTATCCATTCCATCGGATTGGTTTCTCTATATGAATGACGTCTCTTGTTCTGACACAAAACACTTCATATGTGAAGCCCCCGTTCAGACGCAGGGGGGTGAGTGTGGATTTCCTAATTGGTTAATGAACTAAATAGAAGATATTTGTATATTTTTATTGTGTGTAAAGCAGATTGAAATATAATTTCACACATGTATATATACAATATATGTGTATATATTGTGTGTGAATATGTGTGTATGTGTCTACATACATGTAAATATATATATGTATATATTTAAATCTAATATATATGTGTCTGTGTACATGTACATATACATGTATATATACATGCATATATATGCATATACATGTATATATATATCTATTTATCTATCTATATATGTGTGTGTATAAATGAATGTGTCTATACATATATTTGTGTATATAAGTATATATTCATATATCTGTATATATACATAATATGTATATATGTATATATATTTTTACATGTATGTTTATGCATACATATAAATACATATATGCATATAAATAGGTAGATATAGATTTATATATATATGTAAAAATGTAGATATCTATACATATAAATTAGAAGATGTAGAGATATCTGTTTATTTATGTATATATATAAATACACCCAAATATGTACACATATATGTGTGTGCATGATTATACCTTTACATATAAAGATAGATGCATATATAAATATATATATATATATATAAGTACAGTTGTACGTATGTATGAATGTCGCAATGACCGCGGCTCAAAGAGCGCTCTTTCCCTCGCGTCCCCCAGAGGCCGCAAGCGCAGCGCTGGCTCCCGTCGGCCCGTCGGCGGTGGGCGGCCGCGTCGAGTGCCTCAGCCCCTTCGTGGAGGTGGGAGACCTGTGCCTGTTGTTCATCACGTGGGCGGAGGAGACCTGGGATGTGGCTCAGCAGACGTGTGCGGGAGTCTCCAGCGAGCTCTTGGCCATCACCGATATTGAAGTGTTGCGAACTGTGTACCTCTTCATACAGTCAAATGGTAGGTCTATATACCTTTCAGAAGAAGCCATGCGCGTCCAATAGTGTTCCAAGACTGCCTGAAAAAAATATATGTATATAACATAAACTCCGATATGTTCATGCTGTTGCACTACAACCATGAGATTGTAGATAAAAATTTAATAACATTCCTTTTTTATGATATATGCTGAGCCCATGATGGTTTGCCAGTTGTTATTTTCCTCCCTGAGTTTGGAAACAATACTGAATTCTTATTCAGGTTTAGCTGGCAACACCTTCTGGCTTGGAGGATCCGATCTGGAGAGTGAAGGAACTTGGGTCTACACCACAGGGGAGCCTGTGCCCATGGGTAAGTTTATTCTCTTGGTTCTTCCGTCTTTCCAAATTGTTTTTCTTTTCTTTTTTATTACCTAACTTAAAAACTTCTTTTTTCGAGACTTGATGTGATCCATGGCTTTTCTTTCCGAGCTTTATCTAACTCAAGGTGCAGCCAATGAAATATTTTGTATGAAAGTTGAGAAAGTTTCGACATCAATTAATGAATGTTGACGCGTTTCAGGCACCCCTTTCTGGGGTCTTACTGACATGAGTGCACCGTCCCAGGAACCCAACGGAGGAACCGATGAGAACTGCCTCGCGATCGGTAATTTTTACAATTTCAGGGACTATTCATGTGGCTCAAAATTCTTCCCACTGTGTCTCTACAGCGGATGAGCAAATGGCATGGAAAGCGTACAATAAAAATGTTTAAATAGTAATAATAAAAATTTAGATTAAAAAGAAGAAAATCATACTAACATCAAGAGAATAAAAAACGAATATGTATAAGAAACTAAATTTTACTTTTGTCTTGTAAGCTTTCTTTCAACATATTAGTGGTTAATAAAGGATTCAATTATATGTACTCTTCTTTATTTCCTTTTTGTCTTTTGCCAGTTCAGCACACACACAATTCATGTAACATGTAGCAGTATTTTCTACACGTACGAAATCATCCCTTAGAGTTATCAGGATGGAGTTAAATATACAACTATATTGAGACAAATGGTTTCTCTTATGATTTCAATATATTTGTATATCTACTTTACTCCCTTTTTAGTGATGTTCTTTGAACTTCAGGCGTTTTATACCATCTTAACTAAATCGATAAATGTGATTTGATTTGAGGATGTAAAATGTAAATAACATCAGAATATTGACAAAAAAAGAGTTGTCTAATGAAACGAATTGTCATACAAGTAGAAATGAAAGAAACTTCACACAAATAAGGATTTAAATAAGATGCTGCAAAAAAATAAGGACGCAAGAATAATATCATCTGAACTCCACTCAAATAAATTCAATATCATACAACAAAAAGCGAAATGCAAGTACAAAGAGTATCTGAGCTCCTCACAGTGATAGACTGATAACATGCAACTAAGACCAGAATTAAATATGAATTCTACAAATAACTGATAATGAATAAATAAATGGTAATAATAAATGAGTATATAACATGCGCCAAATATGAGGAAAACATAAGGCCTAAATCACCTGGTATCCGCATGAACAAAAATAATAATAATAATAATAAAGTTCAGCCTTATTTATATAAAACAAGAACAGAATGCCTTTCAGTATCAAAATATTTGGTGATACCAAATATAGATGTTATGACCTTTTAAAGTTGGGAAAAATTGTGTCCCAAATTGTTTAGGAGCAAAGTTTAACTTGTTTTGTGTTACGTTTTATGAGGAAATAAATCCTTGTGGTTTCAGTTTAAAGTTTACTTCATAAGGCTTAAATTTTAAAAAGATGAAAAAAAATGATCTAACGCAAAGAAAATCGAATGTGTAAATTTAGTCAGTTTTAAAAAAGGTCCCAATTTTAAACAACAACAGGCGGAAAACTGTCTATTCTGTATGCTTTTTGTGTGTGTGTGTTTAATCTTAGGCAAGTGACACGTGGCACAGGGATTTAAGACCAAGGTTGCACGTGGTGCGTATCACTCAGTATACAAGATGGCATTATCAGAAGTTGACGATGTAAGGAAAATATTCAGAAAATTCTGCCACTGAGAGTAGTTCTGTTGTACTGAGGTGATCATACAAACGTTTGTATTTCCCCACAGTTTGTAAAAATGCTATGTTGATTGGTTCATTGTCTGGAAGAGGCATAGTTGCACGCAGCATTATTTCCTCTTGCAAGACTCCGCGTGGGTACCCTCTCATCCGAAGCCTCGCTCACTGGGCGAAGAAGCCGGGTCATCAAATGTGTTTGGCGGAAACTATTCTATGTATGCCATACAGCCAAAAAAAATCCTTTTTATATCATACGTTATATAATTTTAATATTTTTATTTGATCTTGGCTGATAACTTTGGATGTAAACACTCCATTAAAATTTGACACACTGTCCGAGATGGCAGACCGCACGCTGAAAAAAACGGGTAAGTCTAACCTTGGCGTGGCACTCAGGTCGCACGTGGCAAATGCGGCGTGCCATGCCACTTCTACGTGAAACGTTTCATGTTACCATATGTCCCTTTTTCAAGTGTCACATGGCATGCCGCGTGCTACGTGCTACCTTGGTGTGAAAGCGTCCTTCCCTCCTCGTCTTGCTTGTGTGGCTGTGACTTTTCGTTTTCGCTTCCGGTCGTTCTGTGTAGCAATTGTGGTGTTGGAGATATAGTAGCAGGGTGAAGCAGATTAAGACCACTTTATTCATTTATTTCAGCTTTTTAATATGTGTCACTCGTGCAGATGCTTAGCTTCTCATACCGAGAACCACTTTTTTAACGTTGTTGACAAGGAGCTTACGACGCGCGTCAGACACACACTCACACAGATCTCGAAAAGTTAAAATGTAATTTTATTTCTTATTGTGGCTGTTTTCCTATATATATACACAGAGATACACACACACTCATATATACACATATGTATGTATATATACATACATATGTATATATATGTATATGTAAACAAATGAGTTGTCATTTTTTTTATTGTATTGGTTTTCATTCTAGTTATGGAGAGGCTTAGTAATGCATTTTATACGCATCGTCTGATTACAATAGCGACATCTTTTTTATATTATCATCGTTCTTTTATGAGCATTTATTATTACTTTTTGTTGCTGTTATCATCATCACCACCATCATCATCACCATCATCATCACCATCATCATCACTATGACCATCATCATCACCATCATCATCACTATGACCATCATCATCACCATCATCATCATCACCACCATCATCACTATCACCATCACTATCATCATTATCATCACCATCACTATCATCACCATCATCATCACCACCATCATCATCATCATTATTACTATCATTATCACCGCCAATATTCAACGTTTTTCATCACTATCCCCACAGCATTGATGGAAAAACCACAGGTGAAGTTCATATCACATGTACCGTATGCAATTTCCACTGTCTTTCCCATCCTATCTTTTGATTAACAAATGAAATAAAAGTCGCCATTGACTTACATGTCCAGAGACAAAAAAAAAAAAAAAAAAAAAAAAAAAAAAAAAAAAAAAAAAAAGATAAGAACATTGCTTGACAAACAATAAAAGGGATCGCTAGAAAGCTGCGCTGCTTTCGTAAATGGGCTAGGGTGAGGTAAGTAGTCTGTGTGTAAGTAGTTTGTAGGTAGCCTTGTAAGTGGTTTGTGTCAGTAGTCTGTAAGTAGCATTGCAAGTGGTATGTGTCAGTAGTTTGTAAGTGGTACGTCAGTCTATAAGTAGCCTTGTAAGTGGTTTGTGTCACTAGTCTGTAAGTAGCCTTGTAAGTGGTTTGTATCAGTAGTCTATAAGTGGTACGTCAGTCTATAAGTAGCCTTGTAAGTGGTTTGTGTCAGTAGTCTGTAAGCAGCCTTGTAAGTGGTATGTGCCAATACTCTGTAAGTAGCATCGTAAGTGGTATGTGTCAGTAGTTTGTAAGTGGTACGTCAGTCTGTAAGTAGCCTTGTAAGTGGTTTGTGTCACTAGTCTGTAAGTGGCCTTGTAAGTGGTTTGTGTCACTAGTCTGTAAGTGGTACGTCAGTCTATAAGTAGCCTTGTAAGTGGTTTGTGTCACTAGTCTGTAAGTGGCCTTGTAAGTGGTTTGTGTCAGTAGTCTGTAAGTAGCCCTTTTCTTTGAGATTCCTCCCCCTCCCCTTTCCCTTTTCTCCTTCCTCTCTTTCCTTTCCCTCTCCTCTTCCTCACCCACATTTTCCCTACTTCCATTTCGTCTTTCAGTTCCTTCCCCTCCCTGTCTTCCTCTCCCTCCCTTCTTCTTTAACTCCCCTTTTCCCCCTCTTTTCTCCCCCCCCCCCACCTTCATTCTTAATAATAAATATGCATAAACTGGCGGTCTAACATAGATAGTTATAACATAGATAACAATAATTATACCAATAAAAATAGTAGTAACAATAACAATGATAACAATAGTGAAGATGATAGAAAGGATTTTGATGAAAGTCATATTGATAATGAAAATCAAATTGATACATCCTATGATATCTTCATGTGTGTGCGTCCGCGTGTGTGTGTCATTTTTTAATGTTTATGTTGTCAATTTTTACCCCATTAAACATAAAAAAAAATGAAGCGACTTGATTTCAGACGTAAGGTATTTCAAGTCCGCAGTTATAAGTAATATATATTAGGTAAAGGGGAATAGGTGTACTATGTGCCGACAGACAAAATGCATACACATAGAATTGATATTAGATAATTATGAATAAAAATAATGGCTTTAGAAAATAAAGCTAAGAAATTTCACAATTAAATCGTTTGGAATATACACATTAATGTATGAAGGCAAATGAACAAGGCAATAAATATGTAGTTTTATATATAGATAATCAGAGAGGTAAATACCCAGAAAAATAAGTAAAGGAAAGAAGTAAACAAGTAAATAAGAAAATAAATAAATGGATGAGTAGGACTAGACGGATATATACTTCCTATTTTTTATATTCAATTTTTTTTTCTCTCTCTCCCCAGATAATATTCCCAAGATGCTGTTATATCTTTCTTTGCTTTTAACCAGTTCTCTATTCGTAGGTATGGACTTTTTATGAAGTATCTTAACAAATGTTTTTTTTTCATATATATATATATATATATATATATATTTATTTATTTATTGTTGAAACAAATGATTATGCAGATAATTAGCGTGTCCACGTATGTCACTTCAAATTCGTACGAGCTTGTTCTAAGTTGTGAGAATCAACACAAGTGTTGCACGCAATACATATTTCACAGTGCAAGCAGATGGCCGAGTTATCTGGAATCGAACCGAGTTGGAAGCGAACACTGACTCCTACCATCATGGAATCGAACCAAGCTGGAGTCAAACCAACTTGACTCTGGATTCGGAAGTTTGTCCCGGAGGCTATTCCCCTGTGGGCGACAAATGCCTCATGTTTGTGACCTTTATTACTCAACCATTTGGGGAAGCGAAGCAGTTCTGCCATGCAGCCAAGGGGGAGCTGGCTGCCATCACCACGGCCACGAACTTCAAGACTTTAGTCGATTACATCCATGCCAACGGTGGGAACATCAGCGATCGTACTTTTCCATAATGTATTGGGTAGAAATTCTGGAATACGGTCGATCGTTGCGGTGCTGAATCCGCCGTTTTATTTTTATCCGCTAAGTATTTATTATTGTAATGGAATCTTATTGTCTTTATTACTCTAGGTTCATTATATTCATCATTGTCATCTGTTCCGCTAAACTGAGCTAATATAATAATCTTAATTATTCTATAGATTTCACCAGCGGAGATTTCTGGCTGGACGGAACCGACGAAGCAGAAGAGGGCGTCTGGGTGACGTCGTCGGGAGAAGCCATGCCCTTAGGAACCCCCTTCTGGGCCGCATTTGGAGCCAACCAGCAACCAGATAATGCCAATGGGAAGGAACACTGTCTATTCATTCCATCGGCTTGGTTTTTCTACATGGCTGACAACCCTTGTTCTGCCGTGAAACATTTCATATGCGAAGCGACCATGCCGACGCAGAAAAGCAAGTGAATTTGGAAGATACACTCGCTGTATATATCCATATATGTCTCTCTCTCTATGTATATATATATATATATATATATATATATATATATATATATGTATGTATATATATATATATATATATATATATATATTTGTGTGTGTGTGCTTGTATGTCTGCATGTACATTTTCCTCCATTCCCCCAGAGGCCACAAGCGCAGCGCTGGCTCCCGTCGGGCCGTCGGTGGTGGGCAGCCGCGGTAATATTACATGCCCCATCCTCTTCGTGGAAGTGGGAGGCCTGTGCATGATGTTCGTCACGTGGGCGGAGGAGACCTGGGATGAGGCTCGGCAGTCGTGTGCGGGAGCCTCCAGTGAGCTCTTGGCCATCACCGACGTCGAAGTTTTCCGAGCTCTGTATCTTTATATTCATCTAGAATGTAAGTCCACTCCAAGAAGTACACTACCTTTTATTTTTACTAAACAGTTAATAAGCGTATTTTGGGGACAGTTATTCTGAGAACACCTTTAGAGTGACATTCCCTCAGATATCGGATGACCGAGTTTATACTACGGTTTAGGTTAAATCATCATCATCATCATTTAGGAGCTAACGCCGGCAGGGGCGCATAGCCGCGTCCACCCTTTGCTTCCACCTACGAGGATCCCTCATGGCGAGCCGCCAGGCAGGGGCCCGGCCCATCTCTAGTTCCTCACGACAGGTTTGATCAATCTGCCCAAGCCATGACCTTCTCGGTCGTCCCACAGCCTCCTCCACCCAGGGTTGTCATGGACAGAGACAACCTGATGGGCAGGATCATCCTGCGGGAATCGAGCCAAGTGGCCATATAGCCTGAGTTGGCGATCACGGATTGTGCAAGTAACAGGTCCTGTACCGATCTCACAGTGTAGCTGTTGGTTGGACACATGGTCCCGCCAACTGTACCCCATGATCTGGCGCAAGGTTCTGTTACAAAAGGCATCAAGACGAGATTCCAAAGCACAAGATAGCTTCCAAGTTTCACTACCATATAGTAAAACTGGCAGTATCAGGGCCTTGAAGACACGTAGCATGGTCCTTCTGCACGGGTACCGGCATCTCCAAATACTCTTGTCGAGAGATTTCATGACCCCTGCTGCCAGGCCAATCCGTCTACTGACTTCCTGGTCTGACAGCCCAGAGTCATGAACTGCACTACCGAGGTATATAAAGCTCCTTGTGACTTTGATGTTTTCACCGCAAGCACGTACCAACTGCACAGGGTCTCCTAGTAGGCCTCCAAAATCCTGGATCTTGGTCTTGGTCCAGGAGACCTCTAGCCCCAGGCGCTTCGCTTCATTGCTAAATGCATCAAAAGCCACCACTATAGTTTCCAGAGATTCAGAAAGAATAGCAATATCATCAGCAAAGTCAAGGTCTGTAACCTTGATATTACCCAGAGTCGCTCCACAGTGACTTTGGACAGTAGTTCTACCCAGTATCCAATCTATGCAAGTGTTGAAAAGTGTTGGTGCAAGAACACAGCCTTGCCTAACGCCTGAACTAACAGGAAAGAAGCACGACAGGCCCCCACCACACTTTACAGCACTTTCAGTGCCTGTATACAGGTTTGCTATTAGTCCAACAATCCTTGTTGGAATTCCTCAGTCTCAGGATCTCCCAGAGTGATTCGCGATGCACCGTATCAAACACCTTGAGGTCGATGTAGGCTGCGAGCAGCCCACGTCCGAACTCACGACGGCGCTCTACAATGACTCAAAGCGCCAGGATGCGGTCTGTTGTGGACTTACCAGGAGTGAATCCAGATTGCTCCTGTCTTTGGTGCCTCAGGAGGTGGTCTCTGATACGTCTCAGTAAGATGTGCGCGAGTACCTTGCCTGGTACACTGAGCAGTGTAATGCCTCGGTGATTGCTGCAGTCCCACCGATCCCCTTTCCCCTTCCTGAGAGGGATGACCACACCCCTCAGCAGGTCAGGGGGAATGGTACCGGTCTGCCAGATGGCAGACAGGACTGTATGCAAGCCCCTTGCCATAGGTCCTCCACCAGCCTTTAACAATTCAGTTGGGATGCCACAAACACCTGCTGCTTTACCATTCTTCAGCTTGGAGGAATCTCAACATTACCAGCATCCAAGTTAACTGTTGGTGAATCAACCTGATACAACTGCTCAAAATACTCAGCCCAAAGCACACGCACCCCATCAGGATCTGAAATAACTGGCCATTTGCTGAGCGGACTGTCGTCGTCTGTGAGGAGGGCTTGAAGTTCAGCTTTCTCAGGGCTTGGTAGGCAGGACGAAGGTCATTTACTAGGAAATGGCTTTCGACCTCCTCTGCAAGATTACTGATAAACTGTTCCTTATCCCTTCTCAACAGTGACCTAGTCCTGCGCGCCAGAGAACGGTGCAAATTGCGATCTCCTGACAATCAAGCCACGCGACAAGCTTCTGTGGCTTCCAGTGTCTCCTGCAAGATGGAATTCTGTCTTGCTCTTGGGCATTCACCAATGGATTCCTGAGCTGCATCAAGCATTTCACGCTTGAAGGAATCCCACATAACAACAGGGTCTGTCAGGCCTTCGAGTGCTGTGAGACGACCAGAGATAGCCTCAGCAAACCCCCGGGCACACTCGTCCTCCCTCAGTCTGTCCAGATGAAACACCCTGGGGTGTTCATTTGGTCGATGGGGGGTTCTAAAGTGGACCCAGAGAGTAGCCACAACTAATCTATGATCAGTTCCACAGAACTCGGCGCTTCGATACACCTTGCAGTTCTGGAGAATCCTCCACCGAGTGCTGACAAGGATGTGGTCTATCTCCTTGGCCACACTACCCGTATCACTGTACCAGGTCCAGCGATGCGGGTCAGAACGCTGATAACAAGAGCCGGAGATCCTCAATTTCTGGGACCTAGCAAAGTCACGGAAAAGGAGGCTATTCTCACTGCCAGCATCAGCTCCTGAGCCATGGGGACTAACAGACATCTCGTAGCCAACTCGATCACAGCCAGATACCGCATTGAAGTTGCCCAGAACAATACGAATATCTCGCCGAGGACAACTGTCTGCCACAGATGTTTGGCGGAGAACATCTCTTTCACCTCAAGTTTATATACGTCCGTAAGACATGAAGCCAAATGAAAGCTTGTCTCAATACCATTATACACTCATCGACTGGAGTGACCTCTACTACCGAGGGTTGAAGTCTGCTGGATATGGCTATGGTTATTCCCTGGAGATGGTGGCCATTGCTGCGGCCCAACCAGTAGTAAGTGTAGCCACCCACACTAATTGTGCCGCTGCCAGGTCTTCTCACCTCCAAGAGAGCAGCCACTCAACTCTCAGCTGTTTCAATTCCCTCGACAGTAGTGGTAACTGATCGTCCTGTCACAGGGAATGGATGTTTTGAGCCCCCACCCTGACAGCCCGCCTGAGGTCTAACCTCTGGCAGTCACTCTGGGTGGGCACCACCTCTGCCACCCCTACTGACGCCGCCCCATATAGAGGTTGGCTGGCTGCAGGTCCCATAATCCGCCTGCAGGGCTCCCGGGGGCTTTCCCCCACAAGCATCACACCAGGCAGCCTGGGATGATGGATAACCCCCCCCCCCCACCCGAGTCCCAGCGGTCGCCAACCCAGAGGGACCCACAGCCTGCCGTTCTTGCTGGGTGGGAGGGACTTTAGCCCTCCCCCCCAGCACCAACAGCTATATGTATCGTTGCCAGTAGATTATCTCGGAGACTGGCAAGGCCTGCCTCCCCACAGCCGCCCATTAACCCCAGGGGACACGGTTGGTACGAAGCCAGGGCATGTCCACACGCCGGTAGGCCATGACTCCGTACCTTTAGGGCTTCCTGCTGCTCCAAGAGCCTTCACAGTTCAGCCTAGGACCGTAAGGTATCTAGTTTCCATGGGTGGCCACGAGGAGGTACTGCAGAAGTCTTGATGATGGAGAGGCTAAGAGCTGGCAGGGGAGTCTTATGCAAAGCTGCTCCCTTTTCGCACCAGGCTAGAAAGCGGTGGCAGCTGTAAGCGAGAAGGCATGCAAGCACTTAACCCTACCTAGGTTACCACATCATCCCGAGCATGAAGCACCCACCCACAAGGTTAAAGAAAAAACAAAATCGAAAAATCTCATGAAATTTTTGTGCTTTTGTTTTTCATTGTCAGATTTTGTGGTTAACTTTTGAACACTCTTCAACTTATTGGCTTTTCTTCTTTGTTCCTTTTTTCTGTGGGCTATGCACGTTATTGGACATTTGTCCACCTTAATGATCTGTTTATTTACTAATTTTCTAATGGCGTTAATGCCCTATCTGAATCTCTTGTATTGATGTACTGAGTCAACAATCTGTTAATTATAATACACAAATTAATTTGGTAACCTGTTTATCAGACGTGACTTACTTCTCTGTTCTTCACTGGATTTTTTTTTTTTTTTTCTAATCCTGGATTTATTTTTTGATTGAACTTTCTGAGTAGTTCACAGATTTTCTCTCCTTCTCACTGTCTGCATCTTAATGATAATCATTCAAGGTAACATCTCGAATGTTAGGGTTTGAACATTAAAACTACCCTTCCTATTTTATTATGTGCCCTATTTTATAAAGATGTGGCAGTGTGTATATGGAATAATATTAGCAACATTTACAATCCCATTCGGAATTTAACTATTCATTTTTAGTATCCTGTATTGATTGCATTCCGTTTAATAGCCAACATACTGCATCCAATCTAAGGAAAGAAAAAAACTGCCAACACACACCCAGTCTGTGTGTGATTTGTTTTCCCCTGAGTTTGGAAGCACTATAGTGAAATTTTGTTTAGATTTATCAGGCCACGCCTTCTGGCTTGGAGGATCCGATTTAGCGAGTGAAGGAACATGGGTTTACACCACAGGGGAGCCTGTGCCCATGGGTAAGTTTGTTTCCGCCTTTCCTTAAATTATATGTTTCCAAAACTATATCTCAAAATGTCTTTTATTAATCATTTTAGTTCATTTTTTTCCCAAGCAAGCTTTATATATCAACCAACGAAATTATTTGTAATAAGGTTAAGTATATTTTCAATATTAATTCATGAATAATGGCGTGTTTCAGGCACCCCTTTCTGGGGTCTTTTTGAAATGAGTGCTCCGATCCAGGAACCCAACGGAGGAACCGGCCAGAACTGCCTCGCGATCACTAGTGATGGTTATTATAATTTCAGGGACTACTCGTGCAATTCTAAGTTTAACCCACTGTGTGTCTTTACTGGATGAGCAAATGGCACGGAAAACGAAAAAAAAGGAAAAAATAAAAGATAAATAAATTCAATTTACAAAATTTCAAATGATATACCTTTTACTTTTGTCTTGGTAAGCATTCCTTAGGTACATTTTCAAAAGTTACAAATATGAGGTGCATTTAAATAATACTGTTTCCTGTTTTGTTTATGTCACTTTCCTTATTCTCTTCTCTCTCAGACCAGTCCACATACATTCTCACTCTTACTCTTATTCATACACACACAAACCAAATTAGTATTACATATGAAAACATTACCTAAGTTATGTCTTGTAGTCAGCAGTAAGAAAAAATAAATAGATATGTAGTGCCTATTTATTAATTATATGGTTTCAATAAATTATGTTATCTGTGAGTTCAAGGTGAACCGTCATAAACAACTGTGTGTTTCTTCTTTCCCCACTAATGTCATATTCTAAGCCAAATCAAAAATATTTTTGTCGTATTCCTTCAACAGCTGCTGAAACTCCGTCTGCGACAATGAGTGTGACACCATGGTTTTTCTGGAAAATAGCAGAAACAAAAAAATTTCACCTATCTTTTTCCATTTTTTTCTCATATGATTGACAAGAACAAATACATAAATAACTTCAAAGACGTCTATGATAAACAAACAAACAAAAAAACATAAAAAAAATATCAAATAGGATATCTTGACTGGGTACTTGCCACTGGCTTCCTAATCTATGGGGAAAAATATATGTTTATATATACATATACATACATAGGTATATACACATATACATACATATATATGTATATTTATATACATACACACATCCATATATATATGCATATATATATACATATATGTATATTCATATACATACACTCATCCATATATATATATGTACATACACTCATCCATATATATACATATATATGTATATTTACGTATGTATATGCATATGTGTGAATATGTATATATATATGCATATATGACGGGCCTCTGGGAGAACGGAGGAAATCGCGACCATGTAGAAAAGGAATGAAGGAGAATGAATATCGTCACAGTGCAAGAGATGTAATCGAATCTTTTGCACTGTGAAGATGTTAAATCTCATTCATACCTTTTCCTTTATCTATCTAGTTATACATATATATGTATATATATATATACATACATATGTGTATATATATATATATATATATATATATATATATATATATATATATATTTACATATATATATGTGTGTGTGTGTGTGTGTGTGTGTGAGCAATTTGTAAATAAAAAAGGATATTCCCATTTGTATGTATAAATATATTATATATATACATATCTACATTTGTGCATATATATGTGTATATATACATATATATGTATATTTACGTATGTATATGCATATGTGTGAATATGTATATATATATGCATATATGGACGGGCCTCTGGGAGAACGGAGGAAATCGCGACCATGTAGAAAAGGAATGAAGGAGAATGAATATCGTCACAGTGCAAGAGATGTAATCGAATCTTTTGCACTGTGAAGATGTTAAATCTCACACACACAACACACACACATATATATATATATATATATATTTATCTTTATATACGTATATATGTGTGTGTGGTGTGTGTGTGTGTGGTGTAGGTATAAACACACATATATATATGCATATATATATACATATACATATGTGTGTGCATATATGTATGTGCATACTTATATTTTTATATTTATATTCATATATATAGATATAAAAATGTGTAAGTATATATGTATGTATACATCTATATATATGCACATATATCTACATGTATGTATAAATATAGATATATATACATATATACATAATTAAATATATATGCGTGTGTGTGTTTATATGTGTACATATTTATAAAGATATATAAATATTTTCTGTTTCTTTAATCGAGGATTTTTAAGGAAATCCAAACTCACCATTCTGTGTTTGGATAGTGACTTCACATATGAAGGTTGACGTGGTATAGTACGAGAGGCCATTGAAAAAGAGGAAATAATCAGATGAAAGTAACAGTATTCATTCCAGTCGACATTATCAGGCAGCTGGTTGTATTCAAAAGCGCCCCAGAAGTGGATTCCCATGGGCGCGATTTTTTCTAACGTAGTCACCCAAAGTTACGCTGCAATTTTTGTTCCGTCCAGCCAGAAAGCTTGGCCGAAGAAACCTTCAAAGTAAATAAATTATTAAATTAGCATAGATTAGCGGAACGGATGCAAATGAATGGACCAATAAAGACAATTAAATTTCCTTACTAAAACAGATACTAGTAGACCAATAAAGAATTAGATTTCCTTACTACAATAGATACAAGTAGACCAATAAAGAAAATTAGATTTCCTTACTACAATAAATATTCAGTAGCGTAAAAGAAAACGAATTCAACACCGCAACGATCGACCGTATTCCAGAGTTTACACCCAATACATTATGGAAAAGTACGATCGTTGATGTTCCCACCGTTGGCGTGGATGTAATCGACTAAATTCTTGAAGTCCGTGGGCGTGGTGATGGCAGCCAGCTCCCCTCTGGCTGCATGGCAGAAAAATCTGGCTCCCTGATAGGGTTCAGCAGCGAAGGTCACGAACATGAGGCATTTGTCGCCCACGAGGGAGTAGCCTCCGGGGCAGTCTTGCGAAGCCAGAGTCAAGTGGGTTCGATTCCAAGTTGGTTCGAATCCAGCTTGGAATGAGTCCAACGCGGTTCGATTCCAAGTGACTCGGCCGCGTGCTTCCCCTGGGAAATGTCCGAAGCATGCAACGCTTATGTTGATTTTCACAACTTATAATATTATGAACTTCTTGAGATTAATTATTTGTGTGACATGGACGCGGGCACGCCAAGTATCCTCATAATAACCTTGACTTTTGTTTAAACAATACATAGGCATGCATCTGGAAAACAAACCCATACCTACGAACAGGGAACAGGCTAAAATCAGAAGTGGATGGAGCAGCATCTTGAGATAACCTGGGGAGGAAAAAAAAAACTAATAAAAAAAAAAAAGATAAGATAAAAAGAAAAAAGGGAAATTTATACACAACTCCTACTTGTCCATTTCCTTATTTTCCCATTAAGTCACCTTTTTATCTACTTTCATTTTCTTGGTTTCCTAACTATTCATATACTTATCTATACAAATTGCGTATGTTAAAAATAGCTTGCTAGTTTATCGATTACTTATGTTTTATATATTTTACTTTATATGAATTTTACTTCTAATTATATTATTATTATTACTATTATTATAATTACTTTTATATTCAACAAGGAGACTATAAAACAGACTACTTATACATAAACTACTTAAGCATATGCTACTTACACACAGACTGCATGGACAAAACCTACTTACACACTGCTATGGACCTGAGTTAACGTTGTATACAGAATACGGTGACGGAGAGAATAAATGAGTCTACCATAAACGTAACTAGTTTTCTATGTATAAAGGATTTAATTAAAGAAAACTACTTTGTAGGCATAACATTTTTATATAAATAATATCTCCAATAAATACCAAAAGAAATTACATATCCCTTTTCAAAGACTTTAGTGTAGTATAACAAACAATAGCAAAAAACATTTTTTCTTAGTTTATTCTTTATATGTGTACGTGAGTGTGTGCATGTGAATGTACTTGACTGTGTATATGTGGTTGTGCTTGTGCGTGTGCGTGCTAAAGAATACTAAAGAATCTATAAGAATACTGTACTAAAGAATCTATACTATACTAAATACTATACTATACTAATACTATAAATACTAATACTATACTAAAGAATCTATAAGAATACTATTCTAACTCTTCCATTATTATCATTATCATTGATGTTATTATTTTATAGTTATTGTTGTTGATATTACTATTATTATTATAATCATTACTATTAGTAGTAATAATAGTAATAGTATCACTATTATCATTATCCTATTCATTCTTCGGCGAGGCAAGTACACTATACTGAAGTAGTCATACCCTCAGTTTTGCAGTTTTCATTTACTATCCGTGGGGGGGGGGGGTTAGAAGGGAGATAGAAGGGTAAGGGGGAGAGGGAGTCAGGGGGTTAGGGTAAAAAAGGCTTACGAAGAGAAGGGAGAGAGGGAAGGGGAACCAAAAGAGACTTAAAGAGGAAAAGGGAAAGGCAGAGGGGAATCAGAGAGAAAAAAAAGGAGTTGGGAAAGGGAGCGAAATGTAAAGGGAGGAGTGATTTTAGGG